CCAGACCTGGGTGCTGAGGTGCTATGGCCTCTGGGTACAGTAATCCCTGGCCCCATGGCTGCTCCCATTACCGCCTCAGGACCAGCTGTGACATGGCTCTGACCTGCGCTCTGAGAGCCGCTCTCTGTTAGGTTGCAGGGTGGAGGCTGTGGGGTAGCCAGTGTTTCTTTCCTGGGACTCCTGCCTGACTGACACCTCCCTGTGCCGTGTCCCATTCCAGCACACAGCCTGTCTTGTCCAAGACTGGAGCCGTGGTCCCCAAACCCAGCTCGCTTCCCAGCAGCCGGGGCGAGTATGTGGTGACCAAGCTGGACGACCTCATCAACTGGGCCCGCCGGGTGAGCCCCACCCCTCCTCAATCTCCACCCTCTGCTCTTTGCTTGCACACTGTGCACATGTACAGCACGCACTCTCACTGCCCCCGGGGTTCAGGGAGCCCAAGAGGCTCGTGATTATGTCAGGATTCATCCTCTGCACCCCCTACCCCGCCAGCTCCTGGCTCTGACATCCCCTCAGTGTCTCTGTCCCATCCCCTTGTCTCTCCCTCAACCCTCAGTGAAGATTGCCCACTTCCCTTCTACAGTTGTCTTCTGTTCATGCCTCTTTTGTCTCTTAATGTAAAAGTAATCTTCTTGGCTAGAAAAGTAATGTGGGCTGAAAACAGTAACTCCTTCCTGCCAAAAACATTTAAAAGCCTGCCCTGCCCCTACCATCGGCCATGAAACAGTTTTTGTCTTGTATCCATTCCCAAAGGTCGTGTGCATGACATGTCTCCCTTCGGACGTGTCCTGTCTCCCAAGACAGAGGCTCCTTTCAGTGCCCAGGGGGTGCTGGGCTGGAGGCCCCGTTAACAACCCCTCATTGATGGCTCTGCACTCGCTCAGTCTTTCGTGTGTCTGTGTCACACCCAGCACCACAGCACACATCCTGCTAGAACTCCAGCTCCAGGACAGAGATGTCCACTGTAGCCTGTTTATGACTGTGAACACCCAGAGACGAGGTCAGGGCCGGGAGGCTCAGGTGCTCGGTCATTCAGGTGGCCTAGCCATGTTGGGCAACCCTTGTACTGTCACCCCACTAGCACATCAGTAGGGCAGTGGGGGCCACTTCATAGTCCCAGATTCTAAGCAGAGGAGCAGAGATAGCTCCAGCCAAGGAGCACAGCCTTGGGAAAATCAGACACCAGTCAGATAAAGGAGTCAGGGCGCTTAAGGCCATCCAGAAGGACTTCCTGGAGGAATCGGCATTTGGAGTTCTTGGACACCAGGGGGTGTCCAGAACAAGATCCTCAGGGTTAGGCCTACGCCACATGTGGTTGCCAGGCACTCAGAGCAGCAAGTGCCCACGTTGGAAGGATGGGGTTTAGGATGTACTAGGTTACATCAGTGGTATTAAAACTAATTTTATCTTTTTAAAAAATTTATTTATTTTTTAAATATTTTATTGATTTCAGAGAGGAAGGGAGAGGGGGAGAGAGAAACATCAATGATGAGAAAGAATCATTGATTGGCTGCCTCCAGCACGCCCCCTACTGGGGATTGAGACCACAACCCAGGCGTGTGCCCTTGGCCAGAATTGAACCTGGGCCCATTCAGTCCTCAGACTGGCGCTCTATCCACTGAGCCAAACTGGCTAGGGCTGTTTTTATGTTTTTAGAGGGAGGAAGGGAGAAGGAGAGAGAAAGAGAAACATTGATGCAAGAGCTGAACATCTATCAGCTGCCTCCTGCATGTCCCCTACTGGGACCAAGCCCGCAACTCAGGCACGAACCAGCTGCCTTTCCATGCACGGGATGATGCTCAACAAACTGTCCACACTGGCCAGGACCCCCCCCCCCCTTTTTTTTTTTTGTAATGTGGCTATTGGCAAGTGCTGACCCACAGGCCTAGCCTACTTACCCTCTCATTGGGCAGCCCTGCGCTGGGGCAAGCAGCAAGCTCAGGCTAGGTCTGAGGGACCTGGCGGTCACATGGTTGCTGTACGGGTAAGAGGGTGGGGAATAGCTGATGTGTCGTTCTTCAAGAAAGGCTAGAAACCTGTTTTTCTATGTGAAATTGCCCAGTTTCTTTAAACATGATGGTCCACTGTCCACTCACGGGTTGACCACTCCGGCCCTCTCAGAGTTCCCTGTGGCCTATGACCTTCGGCCTGGCCTGCTGTGCAGTGGAGATGATGCATATGGCAGCACCCCGCTATGACATGGACCGCTTTGGCGTGGTCTTCCGAGCCAGCCCACGCCAGTCAGATGTCATGATTGTGGCCGGGACACTCACCAACAAGATGGCCCCCGCACTCCGCAAGGTAGGCCCGGCCCCACGCCCACCCCTCCCCCGCCCAGGACTGAGCTGACGGAGACCCTGTCATCTCTTCCAGGTCTATGACCAGATGCCAGAGCCGCGCTATGTTGTGTCCATGGGGAGGTGAGTTCCGGGGGGGCTGGGGCCATAATCTGGCTTCAGGGACGAGACATACCTGTGACACTTGTGTTTTATCTGGGCTTCTGTCTGACCAAGGTCATGGAGGTATAATTTATACTCAGTAAAATCCCACACCTACAGGAAGCCGAATAGTGACTGACACTCTGCTGTGTGCACTTCCCCTCCCCAGAATGTCCCTTCCTCTGGATTATTATTGCTCCCCCATCTGATTTGTCCGTTTCTTTATGCATACATAAATGATATCACCCTCTGTAGACAGTTCACATTCTCCTTGCCTTTTTAACTTGTAGTCATTCTCTACTTTGTTAAAACCTGTTTAATCACTTTTTTGTTGTTGTTGAGATAGAATTCACATAACAGGAAGTTCACCCTTTTAAAGTGTGCAGTTAGTGGGCTTTAATGCATTCACAATGTACAAAACCATCCCATCTGTCTAGTTCCAGATTACCCCATTATCCCCACAATAAGCCCCGTCCACCCATCAGCACTCACTCCCACCCTCTTCGCCAGCCCCTGGCAGCCATGCACCCGTTTCCTGTCCCGTGCCTGTTCTGGACGTTTCATATAAAGGGAATCACACGCTGTGTGGCCTTTGTGCCTGGCTCCTCACTGAGCAACATGTTTCCAAGGCCCATCCATTCATTTCTGCTCTTCCTGGTCTCAGGTGACTGCTGTCTTTCCTAGACTTCACCTCCCTCTTGTCCTTTTTGGCAGCCTCGGCACCTGCCTGCAGTTGAAGGGGGTGTGGGGGGGGGAAGGGCCGAGGAGGGAGCAAGGACAGGATGGCCGAGGCCCTCACAGCGCTCCTCCCACTGCAGCTGCGCCAACGGAGGGGGCTACTACCACTACTCGTACTCCGTGGTGAGGGGCTGCGACCGCATCGTGCCCGTGGACATCTACGTCCCCGGTAAGTCGCCGCCTCGTCTCCGGCGCCCGGGCCTGCAGGCCCCCAAAGGAGTCCCCGCGCCCCATAGACATGGCGGGCCTCCGTTTTAGGAATGAGCAGATTTGGCCTGGCCGACGTGACTCAGAGTTGAGCATTGACCTATGAACCAGGAGGTCACAGTTCGATTCCAGTCAGGGCATGTAGGAGGCAGCCAATCAATGATTCTCATTGATGTTTCTCTCTCTCTCTCCTCCTTTCCTCTCTGAAATAAATAAAAATATATATTTTTTTGGGGGAAAAAAGAGAGCAGATTTGGGTCTAAGAAGAGTGACACCAGTCTTTCCCTTTTGTCCTTTCTTCATGAGCTCCCCAGTTTCATCCAGATGTTGGACCAGGCCAACATCAAAAGGGTTAGGCTGAGCCAAAACCGGTTTGGCTCAGTGGATAGAGTGTCGGCCTGCGGACTGAAGGGTCCCAGGTTCGATTCCGGTCAAGGGCATGTACAGTGGTTGCGGGCACTTCCCCGATGGAGAGTGTGCAGGAGACAGCTGGCCAATGTTTCTAGCTCTCTCGCTCTCTCCTTTACTCTGTAAAAAATCAATAAGAATGTATTAAAAAGAAAAAGAAAAAGGTTGAGCTGTACAAAATGCTGATATTTGGCCATTTTTAAGCTCAGTTTTATATGATTCCACCTAATAGAAACCAATCCAAATAAATGCAATTAAAAAATAGGAAAAAGTTCCTGGAGGACATGAACAGTGTCTGCGAGGTCTCATACTCATGATGGGTGGTGAGACCCACCCTGCTTAGATAACTAGGGTGTCCAGGTTTGGCAAATACAAATGCAGGGACCCAGTTAAATTTGAATGTCAGAGAAACAATGAATAATAATCTTTTTCATTATAAATATATCCTATGACATTTGGGATATAGTAATACTAAAAAAAAGTATCAGTGGTTTGTCTGAAGTTTACATGTAACTGGGTGTCTTTATTTTATCGGACCGTCCTGCACAACTCCCTCGCCTCCTCACTGAGCCAATGAGCAGGGGGTGGCCTCCTGGGCATGTACTGGCACCTCCCAAAGGCAGAGAAACAGGTTTCCACATTAGACCTCACTGGAAAATAACATTGATTAATTTAGCATTCTGCAAATATTTATTTATGGATTGATTGATTTTTAATCTTGAACATCAGATTCTTTTCTTCTTTAAATATATTTTATTGATTTTTTTACAGAGAGGAAGGGAGAGGGATAGAGAGCTGGAAACATTGATTAGAGAGAAACATCAACCAGCTGCCTCCTGCACACCCCCCACCGAGGATGTGCCCGCAACCAAGGTACATGCCCTTGACCAGAATCGAACCTGGGACCCTTCAGTCTGCAGGCCGATGCTCTATCCACTCAGCTAAACTGGTTTTGGCAGATTCTTTTCTTTTTCTTTTTTTAAAATATATTTTATTGATTTTGTACAGAGAGGAAGGGAGAGAGATAGAGAGCCAGAAACATCGATGAGAGAGTCATTGATCAGCCACCTCTTGCACACCCCCTACTGGGGATATGCCCGCAACCAAGGTACATGCCCTTGACCGGAATCGAACCCGGGACCTTTCAGTCGCCAAGCTGACGCTCTATCCATTGAGCCAAACCGGTCTCGGCTATTTTCTTTTTATTTAAATATATTTTTATTGATTTCACAGAAGAAGGGAAAGGGAGAGAGAGAGAGAAACATCAATGATGAGAAAGAATCATTGGTCGGCTGCCTCCAGCATGCCCTACACTGAAGATCGAGCCCGTAACCTGGGATATTTGCCTGACTGGAAATCGAACTGGTTCACAGGTTGATGCTCAACCACTGAGCCGGAATAGCTGGGCTGCAGATATTGAGTGCATTTTCTAGGCCTGGGCCTGGCTTGGGCAGCACTGGGCCCTAGAAAGGCCCCATCACCGGACCAGCCCTTGGGGAACCCCCAGGTTGGGGGGATGGAGCCTGACACTGACGTCCCCCCCCCCCCCATTGTGTAGGACTTTGAAAGATGCATAGAAGTCTACCCTGCAGGCTTGTTAACCTTAACCAGGAGCCAGACCCTTAGTCAGTCACTGCTTGTTTGACCTGTGACCTCAGGCAGATCTCTCCATGCCTCAGTTTCCCCATCTACCAAATGGCCATTGTGATAATCCTGTCAGGCACTGAGCACCCCAGAGTCAGCTGGAAGTAAATGACTGACAGTTCTTTATCCAGCCTCCCGAGGTGGCAGGCCTGTCAGGTCCTGGCCGTCCTTAAGGTGGCGAAGTGTTTTTCTGCTTCTTCCACCTGAGATACTCGGGTTGGAGACTCTGGGAATTTCCTTCTCAGTGAGTGAGCCTCCCCGCCCTGCCCACCTTGCTGGCTACTTCCAGTGATGGGCCAAACTGCCCACCCCCTTTGTGTATTCTTTGGATGCTGGGGTGAGGGTCCTTCTCAGCCCTCCCACCATGGGAAGGGGTCAAGCAGCCCTCAGCCCACCTGCAGCTCCCAGGTCACTCTTCCTAGGGCCCTGGGTAGCCCAGGCCTTTGTGCTCCATGTGGCCTGTAGTTGCTGCCCACAGCCGGACCTTTTGACCATCCATCTGTTTCATGTGCCCTGTGCCAGGCAGCAGAGAGAGGGGTGGTGCTCCAGTAGGGCCCAGATCCAGTCACTGGTCAAGGGCTCCTGGCAGAGCCAGAGCTGTGGGCCCCCTCCCCATGGGCAGACACTGAGGCGAGGTCCCGCCCCCAGGCTGCCCACCTACCGCCGAGGCCCTGCTCTATGGCATCCTGCAGCTGCAGAAGAAAATCAAGCGAGAGAAGAGAATCAAGATCTGGTACCGAAGGTAGTGCCACCGACTGCCACCCCGTATCCTCTTCCTCATCCTGAGAGATGGTCAATAAACCTGAGAAACGCACTGGCACGGAAGCCTGCCCTCAGGGTGTATGGGCAGGGGGTCCTGGGAAGTGGAGAGGTGCCCTTGTGCTGGGTGTAGGTGGGCAAGGGCTTCCTTGGTCAGGGTCAGTCCTTAGAGATGCTGAGGCCCTGCAGGCAGGTGGCTCGGTCCACATCAGCCCCTCCTAGGGACCCTGCACCTGGTCTCCCAAGGCCCCACCATGAAGGAGGAGAGCCCAGAGCACCCCTGGAGCCAGGTGGGGGCTGGGCTGCCCCTGCACTGAGACTGAAGGGCACATTGAGTCAGAGGAAACAAGAAAGTGGGAGAGTGTCCGGCCTCAGCAAGTGACCCTGCACTTCACGAGTGGCTGAGGGTCGTGTGAGAGTCCAGATGTAAAACTCTGCTTTATTCTGAAGTGCAGCCTGACTCGGTGGGACCAGACAATCCTCCTCAGTAGCCTGAGGACTTGGGCCTAGAGCTGCTACCCTCCTTGCAGGCCGACCTAGTTCTGCACCCCCTAGACACCGAGTGCCAAACACGGGAGGGAGGGCCAGCCGCCCTGGACGGCTGAGGGACAGGACTGTATAGGTGAGTGATCGGTGGATGTCTCCCCTGGGCAGGATTGGATTCACCGACTTACACAATGGAGCATATATATAGCTTGCCCACTGGATCCCTGAAATTCCAATAACATTGTTTTTTTAAAAATATATTTTTATTGATGAGAGAGAGAGAGAAATAGAAACACTGATGAGAGAGAAACACCCCTCCGCTGCCTCTTGCACACCCCCTACTGGGGTTCGAGCCCACAACCCAGGCATGTGCCCTGACCAGGAATCTTGGTGCATGGGACACTCAACCAACTGACTGGCACAAGCCTGCAACAAATTCCTTTTTCTTTTTGGGGGAGTAAGTGGGAGCACTTTTGCAATGTGTGCTGATGCCAGCCTAGTGTCAGCGTTCATTTCATCCCCGGGACCCCAGAAGGAGGCTGACTGGCGCTCTTGCAGAGGTTAGGGACGGTAGTGGGTCTTACAGCTGGTGCTGCTTCAGCTGGAACCTGGGCGGAAGCCAGAGCCTGAGCTCCTGGCCACGAAGGCACTCCGAGGCGGCGCACAGACTCAGTGCTTGGTGACCAGGGGAGTGATCATCTGGGAGAAGGCGTAGTAGCGGCAGTCAGCCGGCGGGACCAGCTCCATCACCTGGGTGCGGATGTTCTCCCGGCGGAAGCCCGACTCCAGCAGCGCCGGCACCTGTGTCTCCTGTGACGGGGAAGTGCCAGGTTATGTCCAGGCCTCACACACACCCGGTGCCTACCCTTCCTGGCACAGCATTGTTAATGCCAAGGCCCCCAGGGCTGCGGTAGCCTCTGGCAGCATCTGGCTGCCCAACTGCTGCCCCTGCAGGCAGAGTTTGGTCAAAGGCCCTGAACTAACGGGCACCCTGGGAAAGGAAGGCCTAGGGAGGAGTATGGGGCCTGTCAGCCAGGCGGAGAGCTTGGGTGAGTCCTATGTCCCAAGGGCACTGGGAAGTACCTCGCCTGATTTCCACACACAGCGCACAATCCACCCAAGAGCAGTCTGGAAGCAAGGAACCTCCCCGGGTCCAAGGTGACTGCAGCTGCCTCCCCAACCTGCCCAGGGTGGGTGGGGGAGGGAGGCCCAGGGAGCTAGGCTGTTGCACCTCAAACATGGTACTGATGTCGGAGTACTTGGACTTCATCAGCTCCCCCCAGGAGGTGAGGTTGCAGTAGGTGAGGATGCCCCCAGGCTTCAGCAGGCGAAAAGCGTGGCCCTGAGAGGGGACAGAGGTGGGGGAGGGAGATCAGAGAACCAGGTGGAAGGAGGGGCGCCCTGTGGGTGGCAGATGCCCTCCCTGCTGGGCTGCAGACCCTGTCCCTCCGTGAGGTCCTACCCTGATGAAATTGAACTGGTGCGTGTGCCAGGTTTCCTCAGACAGTGGATACGTGTCGTACAGGATCCCTGCATGGGAGGATGGAAGTCACATGGTCAGGGCCAGGGCCAGGGCCAGCCGCACCAGGACAGTGGCTCCACATGAAGGTGGAACTTGAACATGGCCCGGGAACCCCAGAAGCCATACCCCAAGCTCACTATGCTGCCACCACCTCTAGGTGATGTGCAATTCAGTGATTCCTTTAGGTATCCTGCTGGGAGTCTGGTCTCCTGTGTATCCGTGCCCCCTTCCCAGACTCAGTTGGCCCAGTCATGTCAGCCCATATGTTCTTTAAAAGGTCCCTCAGCAAATGAGGAAATTCAGGCAGAGGTTCCCCCTCGCCCAGTGCCCAGTCCCCTCACCATCAAAGTGACCATCTGGTAGGGTGGGTGCCACCTCTTCCCACAGGCCTTTCAAGGGAACCACCTTGAGGCGGGAGAAAAAGAAGGCTGAGGGTCAGAGGGATGCCCAGGACTTCTGCACTGTAAGGAGGAGGGCAGAGGAACTCCCAAGGGAGGATACCTCCCTCCCCTTCCCCCCCCACCCCCGCCGCCCCCATCCCATGTCGGAGACTGCCCAGGAGTAGCACCTTGTGTGGCTGCCGCTGGGCCCAGTCCTGGAGCCGCTGGAAGACACCGTCGTTGCACTCAATGATCCAGTGCTCATCGATGGCCGCTTCCTGCACCTTGGTTGCTGCGATGGCCATGCCAAAGCCCACCTCCAGGACCCGGCCCCCTGGGCACACAAGAGGCGGGGGCTGGGGAGACTGCCTGGAGGAGGCGGCTCAGGGGCAGCGCCTTGGCAGAGAAACGAGGACAGGAGGGCACAGCGGACATGGGGACACAGTGGCCCTGGGAAGGAACAGTGTGGACCCTGGCCAGCGGCCAAAAAGGGATGACCTGCCAGGGAGGCAGCGGAGCAGCTTGTGGGTCGGGTATTTGAGGGGGCGGGGGGAGGGGTCCAAACCTGGACTTTGAGCCTGACTCTGTACACCAGTGGCACTGATGGCATTCCTCCAGTGCAGCTTATCTTTTGGTTACTTTTCTCCCCCTCCCACCGTCCCCACAATGAAGTTCACAAAAGAAGAGCAAGGGAGGGCCGGGATTCCAGGCCAGGGCCTGGAACAGTTGGGGTGGAGGTGGGGGTGGTGCCCACTGCACTACAACCAGAGGCCTCAGGCCACGAGCCCAGCCCCTGGGGGACCTGAGCACTCAGGGCCCTGACACCAGAGGGCAGGGCCACCAGTCACAGCTGTCGCCCAGCCTCGGCCTTCCCAGAGCTATTCTTAGCTGGGGCGGGTGGGGTGTCTGGCGCAGGGACACTCCGCACGTGCCTCTGGGCAGCGACCTCCGCCAGGCCCCTTGTTCCCGATCTCAGGGGGAGGGGGCACCTCATTTCTCCTGGAGAGGAAGTTCTCAATACTTAGGGGGCGCCTACTGGGTTCATGCCCCGTGCCTGTGGCACCCCTTTTAGTCCCCCATTGTCCCCAGTTAGCAGCCCCATTCTCCAGGCTAGGAAAGAGGCAAGGAGAGGCTCGGACGTGCATCAGCCAGAGACCTGGCTGGCATGAGTCTGGTCACCCTCCGGCAGGACGCGGAGCTACCTCTGGAGGCGGCGGCGGCCGCCAGCGCGTGCATGTAGGGTGTCTCCCAGCGCTCCATCACCGGCTTGCCCAGGATCTGCAGGTGCATGTCCGACGCGTCGTAGGACGCGGGCGCCGCCAGCCACGCAGGCCGGCAGTTCTCTCCGGGCGCGAAGATGGGGGTCGCGGCTGGGGCGCTCATTTTGCAGGCGGACGGGGAACCCTGACTGCTGCCGAGGCGAAGGGTTGGTCCCTGCAGGGCCTTCTGGGCCGGGGGTGTGTCGGTGACGGCGGGGGCGTGGCGTGGAGGACCCGCCCGGAGCCGGGAGCAGCCTGCGCGAGGACTCCAGTGGCCTCTAGCGGCGGGGAAGCAGAAGGCGGACTCCCCGCTCCGCGCTGAACCTCCAGCGCCTGCTGGCAAACTGGGCATAGCCGCCGAGAGCCCTCCAGGTCTGTAGCCTCGCCTTTTCACTCTCCTACCTCAATTTCCTCACCTGTCACTGCCGCAGAAAAGCCCCCTTCCTTGCTGGGGGGGAAGGAACTAATTTTCCTGGCGCTGTTGGAAGTGCTTTAGGTATTTTTAAAAAATCGTTCAATCTTTAGAGATGTTGCAGTGGGTTTTTATTGTCCCCATGTCACAGATGGGTAAACTGAGGCTCCGAGAGGCACAGCCAGCAGTCTCATAGCCATGGATGTGGGTGGGTGAGGACTCAGGAGAGAACCCTGATAGTCCCCATTTCACCGCATGCCTAGCTGCCTCTTCTCTTTCAGGAGCTCACTTCACGTCCCCATAAGCTGGAGGTCCCCCAGGATCCTGATGGGGGCGCTCACCATGCAGAGGCTTTGCAGTTCTGGGGACCCAAATGTGGTTCCAGCAGTGTGCTGTCCCTTACACCCCGGAAGCTGTGCGGGTAACTCTGCTCTGACCTGGGATTGAGGCCCCTGGAAGGCAGCTGCATCTTCTGCCTGCCTGGGTCCTCCCCACGAGCACTGGCCTCCAGACTAATGTGACTTCCCTTTTCCAACTCTCTGCACATCAGGCCCGGAGCCCTAAACACTCCATTCCTGCCTTCTCACTGAAAAACTGAGGCCCAGAGACGCTGTGGTCACAGGGTTTGAACCCAGGCAGCATCTTTTTTATTGTTTTAAATATATAAATATATCTTTATTTTTATTTTAGAGAGAAAGGGGAGAAAGAGAGACATCAATTTGTTGTTCCACTTTTATTGTTTGATTGATTTTTGTCAGTCCTCACCTGAGGATATTTTTCCATTGATTTTTAGGGAAAGTGGAAGAGAGAGGGAAAGACAAAGAGAAATATGGATATGAGATAAACACATTGATTAGTTGCTTTCTGCATGCTCCCTAACCAGGGCCGAGGCTGGGGAGGAGCCTGTAACCAAGGTATGTTCCCTTCACCAGAATTGAACCCAGGACCCTTTGGTCCGCAGGCCGATGCTATCCATTGAGCCAAACTAGCTAGGGCTGTTCCACTTATTTATCCATTCATTGGTTGATTCTTGTTATGCCCTGATTGAGGATCATACCTGCAACCTTGGTGTATTGAGACAATGCTCTAATTAACCAACTGAGCTACCTGACCAGGGCCCAGGCAGCCTCTTAAACAGTTCTGCAGTTTGGTCACTTCCCTGCATCTCTGTAACCATCTCTTATAGTCCCAACTGACTGAGCTTCAGACTACTCCCCACAACCCCTACCCACCACCTGCAAAGTGCTCCTGTGCCTGTGTCACTGCTGGTGGTTAATTTGCATATTACTCTTATTATATAGGATTTATTATTTTTTAATTTAATTTTTATTGATTTTAGAGAGGAAGGGAAAGGGATAGAAACATTGATAATAGGAGAGAATCATAGATTGGCAGCCTCCTGCATGCCCCCCACCGGGGATCAAGCCTGTAACCCGGGCATGTGCCCTAACCAGAATCGAATGATGACATTCTGGTTCAGAGGTCAATGCTCAACCACTGAGCCACCCTGGCTGGACCGTACTTCCTTTTGAAGGCTGACTAATATTCCACTGTATGGATGGATCATGTTTTCTTTGTTCATTCATTTGTCCGTGGATACACCTTTAGGTTTTGTGAATCAGGATGCTGTGAATAGTCATGTACAGGTAAGTATCTGTTCAAGTCCCTGCTTTCAGTTCTCTGAATTTGAAAGGAGTGGAGTTGTTGGATTATATGGTGATTTTTTAAAAACATATTTTATTGATTTTGTACAGAGAGGAAGGGAGAGAGATAGAGAGTTAGAAACACTGATGAGAGAGCTGCCTCTTGCACACCCCCTACTGGGGATATGCCCGCAACCAAAGTACATGCCCTTGACTGGAATCGAACCCGGGACCCTTCAGTCCCCAAGCTGTCGCTCTATCCACTGAGCCAAACCGGTTTCAACTATATGGTGATTCTATACTTAACATTTTAAGCACCCGGAATTTTCTGCCCAGGGTTACTCCCATGCTTCCAATCCAGTCCAGAGGGTTCTCACCCTAACGGCTAACTGCATACTCCGCATTGACTTACGTCATAGGGTAAGTCCATATAACTGTGTGACCCCCACCTTAGCCAATCAGAGTTTTCCATTGCTTGGTCACAACAATTGATTGAACAAGGACATGTGACCAAGGTTGAGCCAATCAAAACCTTCCCTTGAATTTTTGCTACCTCTTTTTGGGAAGAAGTGTTGACCTGCTGGGGCTGTTAAGCAGATGGAACTGCTGGCACCATCTCACAAGAAGTGAGACTGTTGAGGTAAAAAGTCAAGAGAGAGGATGACAGAGCCAAGAGAATGGAGAGATGGATGAATCTTCCTGCACTGTTTGAAGGTCCTGGATCCAGTCAAGCCTGAAACTAGCCGGCCAGTGTGTCTCAGCCAGGGGTGATTCTACCCCCCAGGGAACACTGGGAATGTCTGGGGACATTTGTGGTTACCATGACTGGGGGTTCTCCTGGCATTGAGTGGGTGTGGGCCAGGGGTGCTGCTCAACACAAAGAAAAATATGATCCTGCCCAGCTAGTGTGACTCAGTGGATGAGCATCAACCCATAAGCCAAGAGATCTCTGGTTCAATTCTTAGTCAGGGCACATGCCCAGGTTGCAGGCTCAATCCCCAGCAGGGTGCATGTAGACAGCCGCCAATTGATGTTTCTCTCATCAATGTATCTATCCCTTTATCCCTCTCACCTTCTCTCTCTCTCTAAAATAAAAACATATTAAAAAAAAGAAAGAAAGAAAGAAACACCTGATTACAAATGTCAGCCACGCTGAGGGGAAAACCCCTGATTTATATCTATCCCTGGACCTTTCAGTTCCATGAGCAAAAAATTCCCATTAAAGGAAAAAACAACAATACAGTTTCAGTTTCTGTGAGATGCAACAACAGATTCTAGCCACGTTGGGAGGTAAGACATACATGCAGGGCTTCTGGAGATGGAAGCTGCAGATGGCTGGCCTGGGGCTTCACCTCCATACGCAGAGCATCCTCGTTGGGATCAATAACCAGGTGGAAGGGCATGGGTCAGGCCAATACTTCGATTATTTTTTAACACAGGCTTAGTTTTAGATTTATAGAAAAGTTGCAAAAAATATGGAGAAATGCCTGGTACCTACTTTGCTTTGTTACCATCTCATGTTAGTGTGGGATATCTGTCATTTATACATTATTATTGTTACCTAAAGTCCTCAGTGTGTGTGTGTGTGTGTGTGTGTGTGTGTGTGTGTGTGTGTGAAATATATTTTTATTGATTTCAGAAAGGAAGGGAGAGGGAGAGAGAGGTAGAAACATCAGTGATGAGAGAGAATCATTGCTGCCTCATGCAAGCCCACTACTGGGGACTGAGCCCCCAATATGGGCATGTGCCCTAACCGGGACCTCCTGGTCGATGCTGAACCACTGAGCCATGCTGGCCAAGCTGTTTTTCAAATTTCTTTAGTTTTCTCTTAATGTCCCATTTCTGACCCAGAACCCCACCTGACATTAGTTGTCATGTTGCCTTAGGCCCCTCTTGGGTGTGATGGTTCCTCAGACTTTCCTTGTTTTGTTTGTTTGTTTGTTTGATTATATATATATATATATATATATATATATATATATATATATATATATATAATTTATTTATTTTATTTATTTATTTTTTTTACAGAGAAGGGAGAGAGTTAGAAACATGGATTAGAAACATCCATCAGCTGCCTCCTGCACGCCCCCTACTGGGGATCATGCCCTTGACAGGAATCAAACTTGGGACCTTTCTGTACGCAGGCCTACGTTCTATCCACTGAGCCAAACCTGTTTGGGCAGACTTTCCTTGTTTTTGGTGATCTGGACAGACTTGAGGACTGGTTGGGTAGTTTATAGAATTTTTCTTTGCTTGGGGTTTGCATGGTGTTTGTCTCAGGGTTAGTTAGACAAAGTGATGGGTTTTGAGGGCAAGACTTTTTCTCATTCCATCAGATCAAGGGTCCCTGCTGGTCACACAGCTGATCACAATCGAAGGCCACGGAACCTCTCTGGTGTGGGGGCTGTTGATCAGAACCAGAACCCTAACCTGATCATTAGCATGTCTGCAGCATTAGTATTAGTGTCAGGAGAGCTAGCTGTGACATTTATCACTCCTTTAATGGCCAGGGTTGATTACCTTATTTTTTTATTTTGATGAAATTCACATACAATTAACCATTTGAAAGTGTACAGTTCAGTGGCAGTTAGTACATTCACAATGTTGTGCAGCCGCCACCTCCCTCTAGTTCCAGAACATTCCACCACCCCAAAAAGAAGCCCCTTCCCCATCAGAGGTCATTCCCTTTCCCCTCCCCCAGGCCCTGACGACCACTAACCTGTCTCTTTATGGATGTGGCTGTTCTGGGCACTCCACATAAATGGACTTTGTGTCTGGCTCCTCTCACTGAGCGCCCTGTGTTCAAGGTCCATCACATTGTAGTAAGTCAGTGCTTTGCTACTTTTCATGGTCTAGTAATATTCCATTGTGCGGTAGGCACATTGTGTTTTTCTGTTCACCTGCTGAGGTACATTTGGGTTGTTGGCACTTCTTGACTGTTTTGAGTACTGTTGCTATGAATTTGTCTCTTTAAATATCTTACCATGAAGTCCTCACCACATCCCAAGTCTCGCTCCAAACACTTAACACAAACTGGTCCTCACCAGATTCTCACAAAAACTCTCCAAGAGAGCCCAGCCAGTATGGTACAGTGGCTGATCATTGACCTATGACCCAGGAGGTCACGATTTGATTCCCAATCAGGGCACATGCCTGGGTTGTGGGCTCAATCCCTACTATGGAGCATACAGGAGGCAGCTGATCAATGATTCTCTCTCATAATTATTTCTATCTTTCTCTTCCTTTCCTCTCTGAAATCAGTAAAACATATACATACATATTTTTTAAACCCTCATTATATAGATGGGGAAACTGAGGCACAGAGAGGTTAAGTAACTTACCGGGGGGTCACACAGCTACTGGGTGGCAGAGCTGGATTTTGAACCCTCCAAGTCTTTTTTTTTTTTTTAAATATATTTTTTATTGATTTTAAACAGAGAGGAATAGAGAGTTAGAAACGTTGATGAGAGAGAAACATCAACCAGCTGCCTCTTGCACACCTCCCACTGGGACATGCCCACAACCAAGGTACATGCCCTTGACCGGAATCGAACCCGGGACCTTTCAGTCCGCAGTCCGACGCTCTATCCACTGAGCCAAACCGGTTTCTGCGAACCCTCCAAGTCTTAACCCTGGTACTCTGCTGCTGAAGCTCCACTCTGCAGACCACACTTGCAGCCCTGGGGCCACAGAGATGACCAACAGGGGAGGAAAAGCATTGTAAACCAGCTCCAATACTCATCCCCAATATCTCCACCCTGATGGAACCCAGATTCTGGCCTTTGCTCTGCAGATTGTGATGGGGACGCCCTAACCGGGACTGGGAGTCTGGCTTTCAGGCCACTGGGACCTGATGTGAGTCACCCAGCCTGGCTGCCCTGGAATTTCCCGTGGGGCGGGCAGATCCAAGGTGAAGGTTCAGGAAGTCCCAGTGCAGGTGACGTCAGTGCTCAGGGAGAAGGGTGGGGGCGGGGTAAATCGGGGGGGGGGGGGGCGCGACACAGGAGGCTCCCTTCACCTTCTCAGATCCTCACCTGGTACTCATGTTGCAGGGACTGGCCAACATATCAATGGAAGGACCAGGAAGGGCCAGCATATCAGTGTCCTGTCCTGCGGGGCTGTTGCACTCCCTGTGGGCCGGGAACATCATGGGGCAGGCTCTGCTCTCCGTTGTGTTCCTGGGACTTAGCCTCAAAAGGCACCCAGTGCCGAAACCGGTTTGGCTCAGTGGGTAGAGCGTGGGCCTGCGGACTGAAAGGTCCCAGGTTCGATTCCAGTCAAGGGCATGTACCTTGGCTGCGGGCACATCCCCAGTAGGGGGTGTGCAAGAGGCAGCTGATGGATGGTTCACTCTCATTGATGTTTCTAACTCTGTATCCCTCTCTCTTCCTCTCTGTAAAAAATTAATAATTTTTTTTTTAGAAAAAGGCACCCAGTAAATGCTTCTCAGATGGGTGTGTGTCCTCCCCTACTTTTGACCCACCTCCTCCTGTGATCACCTGAACTCCCCCACACACACACACACCCTACCTCCATCTCCCCTGGTGCTCTAAATCCCCCCATAACTCCCATTATTCAGGTCCAAAGCCAAGCCTCTCTGGAGTGGGGTTGGGGGTGAGGGGTCATCCTGAGGGTCCTCCCTCCTCCCCCACCTCAACTCTTCAGCTCCAGCCTGGTTCACAGTGGGCCCTTGATAGAAAGAAATCCAAAGTCTGAGCGCTTCTCTTGGCTTCAGGCAGCAGGTCAACTTCCATGGCCTCAGTCTTGCCATCGGATGAGCTTCAGAGAGGTGGCCCATCAGTCCTATCCAGCCCAGCCATGTGGGAAGATCCAGTGACCTCCAAGCCCATCCTGACCATACCACTCCATTGCTCCATAACCTTCCATGGCTCCCTACTGCCCTAAGGATAAAGGCCTCCTAGTTCTCTGGGGGCCCCCATGATCCCACTACTTCCTTGCCAGCCTTAATGCCCTGCTCCCTGATGCATTTCCCCTCGAGGGCCGTTACCAGTACTGTGCCCTGTTCTCTTTCTTTCTTTCTCTCTCTCTCTCTCTCTTTTTTTTTTTTTTTTTTTTTAAATATATTTTATTGATTCTTCACAGAGAGGAAGAGAGAGGGACAGAGAGCCAGAAACATCGATGAGAGAGAACCATCGACTGGAATCAAACCCTGGTACCCCTCAGGCCACAGGCCAACGCTCCATCCACTGAGCCAAACTGGCCTCGGCTGTGCCCTATTCTTAACAGTCTCCTCTCCTCTGGGCTTGACTGGTGGACTGCTGATCTTTCTTCTTTCCCACCTGCTCCCCACCCTCGGGGCCCAGCCCTGGCCCAGCCTGGTGGGGTGCTCTGTTCAGGTGTCACATTTGCCCTCCTGCAGCCTGAGTGTCCCAGCCTCAGGCAGAGGCAGTAAGGCCTGTCTGGGGTGGATCTCAAACCCAAACCCGTTGGACGGGTTAGCTGTTCCCTGAAGTTGCCCTGGCTCAGAGGCAGCCTTGGCAGGGCCTGGCAGGATCCTGCTAGGGGCTCAGGCCAGGCCAGAATGGTGCCAAGGGAGCTGCAGCGTGCCAGCCAGAGCCACCTGAAGACCTCTTGGGGCACGTGGCAGGTGGGCCAGGGTACAGGGACAGTGTGGTGGCTGAAGCAGGTGGGCAGGCTTGGTTTGGGCGGGGGAGGGTGATAGCCAAGACCGAGATGGAGGTTTGAACAAACTGACAAACAGATGGTGAGAGAGAAAGAGGTGGGAAGAAAAAAAAAGGAAAGTGACTGGAAAAGTGAGGTCAGGGGACATAGAAAAGCTGGCGTGACTTGGGCAGGCCCTGCAGCTCTGGCCTCAGTCCTCTCTTCTGCACCATGCGAGGGTGTGATTAAGGCTAGAGAAGAAGAAAAAAGAGGGGCATGGGAGGAGAGACTGGAAAGGAGGGGAGAAGAAGGACTGGGAAGAGGGGGCAGGAATGGAGCCACTGGCCTGGGTAAGGGGGTGGCAGTGAGGGGAAGTGGGTGTGGAAAGGAGAAGTGGTGAGGGAACCAGGCCTGGGAGCGGCTGGGAGGGAGGTGCTCCCGCCACTCAGGAAGGCTTGGGGCTTTCCAGAATGTGGAGAAACAGGAAGTGGCTTTGTCCCCTCCCCCAGTTAGGCCAGGCCCACCTGCCCTGCCTCACCTGCCCAGGTCTGAGAGTCTCGCCTCCCTAGATGGGCCCTCAGTTTGCCTCTGTCTCCTTAACTGCAAAATGGGCATAGCCCCAGAGTGCTCCCCAGAAGAGAAACTGAGGCTGGGAGAGGGAGGAGCTTCAGGGTGGCACTTCTCAGAAGGGAAACTGAGGCTGGGGGTTTAATTGGTGGCACTCCAAATGGGAAAACTTAGGGGGAAAAAAAGTATTCTTTGTTCAGCTGAATTTTGTGGGTTCACAGGGAAGCCCCAGGGGATCTGACCTTCGGGCTGAAGTTTTCTGCTGTCGGAAGTAATTAAAACAGCTGACCTGCACTGCAAGCTCACTGCACATCCTCTCCTGTCTGTGTGTGGTGTCTTCTATGTCCCTTTAGCAAGGGTAACACAGGCTCTGGGACCCCATTTCTGCCTGTGATCTCCCCACATTGGGTCTCCCAATTTCACCGATAAAAATACAGCACTCCTGGGTCGATGCGAATTTTAGATACACAAAGGCTACTTCTTTAATGTAAGTATGCTCCAAACATTGCCTGGGACATGCTTACACTACAGAAGTGTTCCTGGTCCATCCTAATTCCTGGTGGCCGCCCGGGGCCTTCCAGGTTTCGCTTGTGGCCCAGAGCAGCCTAGAAGCCTCGTCCCAGGAGGAGCGAGCACGGCTCCCATGGGCTCCTGCCAGAGGCACTTCTAGACATTCTGAAAAGAAAAAGTATTCTTTGTGCAGCTGCAATTCAAATGTAACTGGGCATCTTATGTTTTATTTGGCAACCTTATGTCCACGAGCCTGGTCACAGTGCCTGGGGGCACCTCTGGCCGTGTGCGTGTGTGTGTGTGTGTGTGTGTGTGTGTGTGTGTGTGGTGTGCGCACTGTCCCCCCTGCTGACGGGGCCCTGGGCACCTGTGACCTGTGAATATTCACTTAGGTGACCCTGTGGTCCAGAGGCCTCACATGCAGACACTCTAACGGCTAAATACTAGGCACTGCTCACTTAGCTGCTTAATCAACTTAAAAGGCAACTACTATGATCCTCACCATCCCCACTTTACCTGAAGGGAAACAGAAGCCGAGAGATTAAGTAACTTTGAGGGCCACATAGCATGAGAACCCAGCTGCACCAGGGCTGGGGCTGGAGCTCCAGAACTGTGTCCTTTCTGCTCGCCCAGGCTGTCTCATGCGATCCCTGGAAATCCCCGAATCTGACTAATTCCCTAGACATCCCCAGGCTTGGCAGATTTCTCCATGCTGAGATGGCTGGACCCACCCTTGCTTGAGCAAACTGCCCCCACTTCAGGCAAAATTACCCGTAAAGACCTCATGGTTTCCCAAGGTGGACGTGGCAGAGTTCAAGTGCACGTCTGCCTGCCACTCTTGGTGACCTCAGTTCTGCGCTCCAGTTTGCCTGCTAGCAATATGTAGGTAACACCAGTCCCTGACTCTGAGGGACTTGAGTTTTACCCAGGCCCTCATTCAGGGGTCAGGAGCCTTGGTTCAGTTTGCTCTCTGCAGCCACCGCCTTAAAATCCTGAGCCCTTTTGAAACAAGAGGCCCCACATTGTCATTCCTCATTGGCCCCTGAAGATGGTGTGGTTGGTGTTGTGTAGGAGGAACTGGGGAAACGCAGCTGGGCACCCTCCACCCCCCAAATCAGCTTGTTCACCCTTTTGAATCTTTAGTGTCTGTTGCTCAATTGGATTTACTTTTTATTAGTTCTGAAAAATAGTTCCAAAGTCAGGGTTAGCACCCAGACTGCCAAAGCAATACTCACTCTGGATAAATCACTTCTGTCTGGGTCTCAGTTTTCCCATCTGCTCTCTTGAGCTTGTGGGCTTAGACACAGGGTGTCTTTGGCCTCAATTTTGTAGGGCAAACAGGTTTTAAACATACTCTTCTCCCTTACCAGACCAGTCATTTGAAGTGCTTTTATACTTTGCCTGGACTACCCTTCCTATTCTTTTTTTTTTTTTTTAATACTTTTATTAAATTATTATCTGTGTACATATTTTAACATTGCCCCCCCCATACATACCCTCCCTCCCCAGAGTTTTGTGTCCATTGGTTGTACTACCCTTCCTATTCTTGTGTGTCTAACAAACTCCTACTTAAACTTCAAAGTCCTAGCACCAATATTCCCTCCTCCCTGCAGCCCTCCATGATGCCTTAGGCAGAGACATCACACCTTCCTGGGCCCAAGACCTGATCTTGCAGATAAGTGTGTCTGGCTCTGTCTCCCCTAGACTGGGGGCTGCCTGAGGCCAGGGCTGAGAACTGAGTTCTCTCTGGGGGCACAAAGTAGCATCCATTAAGAGTTCACTGAACGAATAAACAAATATATGAAGAGGTGACCTGTAATGTCAGGGGTTAGAATGGGTTCAAGAGGCACTGGCTGGTGGTAAGGTGGGTCCTGGGAAAGAGTTGTAGCACCGTCATTGCTGATAACCTCACTGGGGAGGGAGTTGTGCCTCCTGCACTGGATATGCCTGAACCAGCCAGCCCACCCCGGAGTGAGTCCAGTGGGCTCAAGTCACAGGAAAACTGCTTTCTGTGCCGAAGTCTGGCCCCATCTTCTTGGCAGTGCCCCAAATCTCATGTGCCAGGCCCCTGGGAGCCCTAATGGGATGGGAGCCACTCAGAACCCGCTGGCCCTGCACCCTGCGCGAGAGGATTCTGCTCTCTCTCCGGGGACCCCTGAGACTTACCAGACACCCCCTCCCCCCAACACAGTTACCCAAGTGACAGGCTCAGTGTTGGGGGGTGTGTGTGGGGGCAGGGTCCTAGAACTTCTATTTGGATGGGGCAACAGATTAATGTTGTTGGGGAGGCAATCAAGGGAGAGAGCATGTCTGGGTGGTCAGGGGCCATTCAGATAGTTGCAAGGAAGTCTCTGAGGAGGGGGCTTTGGAGGCAAGATCTGGGTTGTACAAGAACCCCAGTGGCTTAAGGTCAGGGGTGAGAGTGCCCGAGGGGAGGGCAAGGTCCGCACAAATGGCCTGGAAGTCGGAGTGGCTGGTTCCATACCCATGTCACAGAGGAGGAAACAGGTTCGCAAGGGTAAGCTACGTGCTAGGGTCTCAACAGTAGGTGGCGGGGTCGAAATTCAATTTCTGAGCCTACGGAGCGTTCCAGCCCCTCAGCCCGCTCCGGAGCCGCGTCCGCACCACGCCCGCGCCCCGCCCACCCAGGCCCCGCCCCCGCGGCATGGCCGGAAGTGCGCGAGCCTCCAAGATGGCTCCCCGGAACCAGGAAGTGATCGCGTCCGCGGCGAAGCTCAGAATCGGAGGCGGCCGGACCCGGCTGTGAGGTGAGGTGAGTCCAGCCCGACCCCCGGCCCTACCCCGCCGCCCCTCCTTGGCCCGAGTCTCGCTTCCCGGCCCGCGTTGGCCCGGGGCTCCCCGGGCCGGGGGTTCCGGGGTTCCGGGAGCCGCGGGCGGGGGGAGCGCGGCGGCTTGTCCCCGCCCTTTCCCGCGACCCCCGACCCTGCGCTGCTCTCTGACCCCGGTCCGACGCGCCGGAGCGGCGAGCCCCTTCCCAGCTGAGCGGTGGTTCCCCGATGCCTACCTTCTTGGTGACCTCCTGTCCCGAGCTTTTTGCTGACCCCGAACTTTACTTTTTTGGTGACTTCTAAGTCCATACATCTCGGTGACATTTCCAGAACCTTGTGATCCTCACTTCCTAATCTCTCCTCCGCGACTCCATGACCCCTCCCTCCTTGTGACCCTCAACCTCCGTGACCCAGCCCCTCCCTTTCTGTGAGGCCCCGATCTCCCGTCTTGGTGACTCCTGGCCCCAGACCCCTTGGAGTTTCCCGGGACCTCTCCAGTGCTCCCAGAAGGGCAGACACCCTCAGCTTTGGGATAGGGCCGTGCTTGTATCAGCTGACCTGGCAGAGCATGTTGGGGTGGGAGTGTCGCCAGAGTTGGTAATGAAACCCGGCAGACAAGGACAGGCCAGGGGGTGGGGTGGGGGATGCACAGATGGCCCCCACCCCGCAGGTGAGCGGAGGAGCAGCCTGTGTGGGTGGATGGGGAAGGCAAGGCTGCCAGGCAGGTCCTGCCCACCAGAGCTTCCCAGCAACTCAGAACCCAGAGCAGGAGGCTGATGGGGCCTGGAGGGACTGGGCGTGGACTGCCAGCCAGGCAGGAGCCAGGGAGGCGGTGGGGTGTCTCCCTGCATAACATTATTAAGATTCTACAAAGGGAAAAAGAATTGAGTAAAAGGTGTGTCTAGGGCAAACCCGGCTTCTGCTTCCCTGAATTTGCCTTGGACCCACCTGCCCTGATGTCCTTTCTACCTGTCCACTGGCCTCCCAGGCTGGGTTTAGTGCCATCTGTTTGCCTGGTTGGAAGCTGACGGTGATGAAGTTTGCTGGCAGTTTGGGGTGGTGGTGAGTGTTTCAGGGTGTAACAAGGGAGCTGGTGTTGGACTGAGTTTACCTGGGAACCTGCTTATCTGCTGCAGGGTGTGGTGAGTCTGTCCCAGGAGACCGACCCCTCAGAAAGGTTCAGGCACCACAGACCCTGGAGGGAAGGAAGGCTGCCTGTCCCAGGCATTGAAGTCCCAGAGACGGGCTGGAGGCTGGCCCTTCCTCCAGGCCAGGCAGTACCCTGCCGCGGCTTTTCCCTGCTGGGGGGCAGCATGCCAAGGGGCCAGGCACCACAGACCCTGTGAGTGGAGGAGTGGCGTTTTCTTTGAGGCTGAGACCTGGGACCTCATTGGTCAGCCGATTTGTGTCCTTTCTTCCAAGCACCCTGGATTTTCCCAGGGGAGGCCCCAGAAGTGGGTGGTAGTTGCTGTCTGGTTGGGGCCTGTGGCTTCGTAGTGCCATTTGCCCTGAGTCCTTGTGGAAAACACTGCAATCTGGGCTGGTGGGTGGGTGAGGCCAGGGAAGGGCAGGATGGGGAGGGGGCCCCAGGGCTGTCCATGGTGGGGGAGACACCTGCAGGTGCCCATCAGACCCTGAGGAGCCCTGTGAGTGCTGTCCGCAGGGTAAAAGCAGTGCTGGTACCTGGGGGAAGATGCTCCGGAATTTCAGAAGACGTGAGGTGCTTTTGTTTAACTGAGTGTCTTCGCAGACAACTGCTCACACCTGTCTGGAGTGAGGACCCGCCCAGTATGTGTGTGTGTGTGTGTGTGTGGTGGGGGGAAGAGATATCTATGTTCTCACAGGGGTGGGAAGTCCTAGAGTCAGACACGGGTCTGGGTTTCCAGGGAAGACCATTGGTTTTCAAGTTGGGGCTGGCAGAGCAGGCTGCAGGTGGGGAGCCCAGGATTCGTGCTCTCCAGGCTGTGTGATCTTGGGCCAGTCACTGCCCCACCTGGGCAAAACCACAGCCAGGCCTCTGCAGCTCATACCCCTGTCCCACCCCAGGGGTTTGACCAATCCGGGCAGGCCCAGCTCTGTTTTATTTGTCTCGGATGCTCCTGGCTAGAACTGCTGACCCAGCTCAGGACTCTGGCCGCATGAGCGAGTTTGATCGGGAATAAAGAGGCAACTGTGTCCAGGTCCCCCGAGGCGGCCACCCCCCAGGATGGCCTCTGCCTTTACTGCCAGCATGAGGGGTTAACGTAATCTCAGAGTGTAAACAGCATGAAGCTGACATGGTTTAGTTAGGATGGCAGCTTCTCATGGCGCCAATACAGTCCCAGGGTCTGAATGTGTATGCAAGTGCAGGTTTCATATGAAAATGTGTGCCACACTGTGCATGTTGTATGTGGGCATGTGTATGTTTTGTGCTGAGTAAATACATGTTTGTGTCCATGTCTGTTGGTGGGCTCTCGAATGTATGAGTGTGCAGGTTTGGGTGTTGCATGTGTATACTTGAGATTGAACGCAAGCACATGTGTCATACATGACGGTGAACATATGTGTGCACTTATGGGTGTATGTGTGTGCAGTTTATTGTGGACAGGTTTGACGCATCTCCACCACTTTCCCCCCAGCACAGGGCAGCGTGGTCAGGCTGCAGGGAGGCTGGGCATAGAAGGCTTGCATACTACTCACCCAGTTTTGGCCTCAAGTGCTGGTGTCCCTGAGTGCCTGGCAAGTGTAGTCACTTCTCCCCTGAGTGGAATCCCCAGGCCTTGTCCTCTGGAACTACCCTCTCCCTTCTCCTGCCACTGGCAGGTCAGTCCCACATGAGTGGCCTGAGCAGGGCTGAGACAGAAAGCAAACTTCCTTTATCGTCCTGCCGATGGTGACAGCTGCCCTGAGGCCTCCTGCTTCTCTCACTGGGAGGTTTGGCTGCCCTGCCAGCAGGTGGGTGACTCAACTGAGGGCCTGAACTGTGGTTTCTGATGCTGGGGCTCCATCACCTGCTGCTCTGGGCTTGACAAGACCTGTTGTTTGTATTCTAAAACGTAGACGAACCTTCAAAATTATGTTTATTGATAAGCCAGACACAAAGGCCACACAGTGTGTGATCCTGTTTATGTAAAATGTCGAGAACAGGCAAATCCACAGATTTAGGGAGTGAGCTTGTGGTATTCAGGGACTGGGAAGGGGATGGAGGTGACTGTTGATGGGGATGAGGCTTCTTTTAGGGTGATGGAATGTTCTGGAACTACATAGTGATACTGGTTGCACAACCCTGTGAATGTACTAGAAACCACTGAGATGTGCATTATAATGAAGTATGTGGCATGTGAATTGTGTCCCTACAAAACAAAGTGTTAAAAAAGGAAAAGAAAGAAAGGCCGGTCTGTCCTTCCCTCTCCAATGCCCACATGATGTGGCCTGGGGGTGGGCGCATGTATACATGAGTGGGCAGAGCATGCCTTCCGCTGCCAGCTCATACATGGCTACTGGATGGTTTGCCCCACTCGGGATGGCCGAGGAGGTGCTATCTGTTCTGTGGAAGGTGAATGAGGCTCCCCAGGGGCCCCTCACTAAGCCCCTACTCTATCCCAAACCAGTGCATCTGCAAGAGGTGGTCCTAGGGGATCTGGATTCCTGGTACAGGGGCGTTGGGTGGGATGCGAGTGGTGGGGTGGGGGGCCCAGAGAGCAGCTCCTCCCTGAAGGCTGCTCAGTGGGAGATGGTGGGTTGAGGGCTGGCACTTCTGTGGGCCTCCTGTAGGTTTCCCTGGAACCCCCTCCCCGTCCCGTCCCTCCCCACCCCCCCACTGAGGCCAGGTGACAGCAGGGAGGAGAATGGTCCCAGAGAGTCAGTGCTGAGCGCCCCTCCCTCCCCAAGTCACCCATTTACATGTAACTCTTCCTGAGTCGGTTGCTGGGAAAGAGGATCTCTTCCTCTGCTACACCCAGGGCCGAAGGTGTAGATGGCAGGGACACAGCCCAGAGGCAGCGAGGTTGATGTCCTGGCACCTCCTCTGAGCATGTCCCCGGCAGCAGGAAACCTTTCCAGGCTGTGCTCTAGGCACAGAGTTCCCTTAACTTCCAGAGCATGCTGGGGCCAACCTCTAGCCACATTGTGCCTTTCTCAGTGGGCGTGTAGGGCAGAACCTTTCCCGGCAGATTGGCCTTGTCCTCTTAGGATAAATACCAAGTGAAACTGAAAGAGGCCTCGATCCTTTTGCTCCAAGGTCTTGGAAGCAGTGTGTCCACGCCCACCAGGAAAGCTGTCTGTCCCCCATTTCCTGGGAGTCCACCCTGAGGGTGAAAGGTCGCCGACACAGGAAGCTTCCATGGTGGGAAGGAGGAGCGGGGTCCTAGCGGGCAGTAAACTTTTATGGCCCTGACTCATCCACAGCAGAGATGGCCCACAGGCACTGGGAGTGTCTGCCGCCACCGCTGTCACTGCGGCCAGGGCTGAGTCTGCCACCCTGAGAAGGTAAACCGAGGTAAACCGAGGAAAGGCTCCTTCCCAGGCACTGGGCCGGCACAGGCCTGGGAGGGGGGGGGAAGCTGCTCTCAGCTCCCTCATGCCCCTGGCTCTCCTGTGGCCAGAGCTCAGCGGGCTGCTCCAGGGTCTGGGGTGGTCTTGGTGTTTCGGGAGGTGCCCTGGAGGCTGTGAAGTGGGGGTATAGGGCCCCTTCCTGCCCCCACATGGTCCAGAGTGGGTGCTGGTGGCCCAGCGTATATGTGAGCTGGCCGGGGGGAGGGGGGCTTGGGGGCAGTGTTCATTAGATTCCGCCCACTAATTCTGGGGGACTCGGGTGAATGAGGCCCAGGCAGGTATGGGGGCTGTGAGGGACAGCCCTGGGGGGAAGCTCCGCTGCCAGCGCCGTGGGAACTTGAGGAAGGTGCCCCGCAGGGAGGGGTGGGTGTGATGGCTGGACTTCCACTTTTGAGAAATCGGGCTGCCACCTCCAAATCCAGGCTTGCCGCTTCTCTTGAAAAACC